TGGTTTAAGGCGATGAATAATCAGCTATTTAAGTTTAAAAAAAAAAAAAAACAACAAAGCAAAAAAACCTTGAGAGCTGTATGTCAGTTGAAAAGCTGTCAGTAAATTTGGAACAGCTTTGCATGTCAAGTTGATTACAGCAGTGAATAAGAGGAATTACCAGGAGAATGAACCATGCAGCGTGCAGTTTTTAACTTCAGCTTCCCCACAGTTTCTCCTGTCTCATTCTCTGGGTTCCTAGGGTGCTTGTGATACTATCAAGCTGTTGAATTCCCTTTCACAAAATCTTTTACTGTGGACAACTCATTCCTGATATCTGTTGCACAGTGCAGTCACTGGAAACCTTACGCTTGGGGATTCCCCCCTCCAGAACCGAGTGCCATTAATAGCATCCTTTGTCTGATTTCCTGAAACATGGAAAACCACTTCCTCCACAGCTTCAATACCAAACTAGGTCTGGGAACCAGCCTGGGCTGCTGAGGACGGCAGGTTCTGCACGTAGGTACACATCTAGCGAAGTGACACCCGGATGTCTAGCAGCAGTGGAGGATGTTTAGTTAAATGTTCTTTGGGGTGGATCAGAGGGTCATCTTCTCTGTGCAAAGATAGTAACAAAGCAGTTGCCCGCTCCATGAAATTAACAGTTTGAAGGCCTAGGAGGGTGATATTAAGTGAAATGCAATAAAGAGGAACCATTTTAACAAAAGCATTAAATTGCTTTTGAAAATCTGCAACTCTGCTGCATGTGGCTGTGCGTTAGAGTGCGATGGAAATACGAGCTGATCAGGGTCTTGATCTGTTTCATTTAAACAAGTTGAACTGGTTTAATGTGAAAATTGTGAATCTGTATTAAAGTTAGGAACGTAGTTGGGCTGAGTCTCCTGCTACCTACATGTATGAGGGAAGGAGCGATTCCAGGAAGGGACTGAAAATCCTGTGGCAGCAATTGTGCCAAGTGGGAATCTTTATACTGAAGTTCTGTCATCACTGAGGTGTCTGAAGCCCGGTGCGAAATGGAGCTGCTGTAGGGCCATCTCACATGTAAATGATGATTGCCTGTCTGGATATCTGGAAAGGACAGACTTCAAGTTTCTCCCATCGTCGCTACTGGAGCGTGCCAAAGCAGTGTTGGAAGGCTGTTTGAGGAGCGAGGGAGGTGCTCCTGTCGGAGGCAGCTGGGCTCTTCATGACGAGGAGGCTTATCGGAAGTCCGTGACAGATGGTCCAACAGCAGCGGGCACGGAAGAAAGGAAAAACCTGGGAATAAAGGGTTGGGATGGGAGGTTCCTCCCTGGCTGATTCTCCATTCAGGCAGTGAGCAGCACTTGAAGTCATTTTGCACTGGGTCTTAACTGAAACCCCTTTTTTTCTTTTGTGTGTGCCTGTCGCTTGCCCTGCCATTGAAATGCATGAGGGGGAACAGGACTTGTGCCAGAACGCTGCAAAATTAGTGGAACTGGGCATCAATATACCATGTGTCCCATTTTAATGTAACCATATTAGCTTCATTTGGTCCATTTTCACATGGGCATGTTTCATGTTTGTCAAAAATAAATGATCATCTTGGGCTGAAGTAGTTTTCACACTGCTACAGCATGAATGCACAAACGGCGCACACTAGAATAGCGGCACCAAGGCAAAAACAAACTCCTAGTATGTGTTCCTGAGGACTTGGCTGTTTATGAGGGGCTTATTGGCATCACATGAATGGATTGGTAACTAAATGAAGGATTGACTAAGCTAATCTCTGTGAGAATCCTCTTTAATGAGTTAATGAGGTGTTCTTAAGGGGTCCCTGCATGCGCTAATTCTAATGAGAGCTTTTCCAACTTACCAAATGATAAAACTCGGATCTGCATCCCAGCTGATAACGCAAATGATGGCTAGGTTCTACTGTTCAGGAAAAATACGTTTTAGTTCTGGGATTAAAACTGCACAGGGAAGCCAGAAACGCTGCCCTACCTATGTGCTCTTTATCTTTTCATTTAGTATGTTGATGAATGTACTCAAAGCGCCAGCCCAGCGCTAAACTCTCAGTCCTTCCAAAGTCTGAAAATCAGCAGCTGTGCGGATATCTAGGGTATACGGTGGGTGGATGTGTTGTATGAACTTCCTAAACGCTCTGTTTTGCAGGAAACATTGCAACAAGGCAAAAGGCGCAGATGGTGCAAGGTGCACAATTACATTTATTTTCTATCAGTGAAAACGGTGAAAAATCTGTTCTGTTAACAGCATTCGTTATCCGTTTCGTCCTTTAAAGATCAGTGTTACCAAATTCTGTGTTGTAAACTTTCCCAGGAAGATACAAGTTTGTGTGTGTGTATGTGTGTCCCCTTCTCTTAAATCTTAAATTTAGTACGTTTATACTGAGAAAAAGTCTGGTCTTAAATCGATTTATCAGGGACGCTATTCCCTAAAAATACAACTCTTTTAAGCTAAACCAGGGAAATAGAGAAAACAAGTCTTGGTGGAATTAGGGCATCATATGTTGTGGTGTTTGTCCTGTCTGGATGTTTTCTTCCAGCTGTGTGTAAATGGGAGGGTGCAACCTTTCTCCTTCAAGCAGACTCCTACGTGCCTGACATCTGCAAAGTGAATTTCTGCAATGGATCTCATTCAGTTATCAAGAAGTAGTTATATTTATTTACAGGATAGCTGGCAGATGGGGAGGAGAGGTTTTAGCTGTACATGAGCGTGTGTGTGTGCGCGCGCACGTGCATGATAGGGGGGTGGATCAGGAGCTGCGGGGGCAGGAAAACGTCTCTTCTGCCCCCTGAAGAAGCAAGCAGCGCTGCGATGCTCGACCTCTCCCGTTCACCTTAAGGCAGGCTTGCAGCCGTCCGTCACGGTCTGCCTTTAATGCCATCTGCGGATTTCATTAGTGTGCTGCTTGCTTCCTGTTCCAGGTCATTAATGAACGTGTTCAATAAGACCTCCCCTCAGCTCAGTACGATGCCAGTTATCATTACCGCTTGTTTACGGTCCTGTAGCCGGTTCTCGATTCCGGTACTGTGCACTGGTCCTTTCCAAGTCTTTTTGGATTAATTTTTCAATTAGGATTTTGTGAGACACGGTATCAGATGCTGTCCTAAAATCCAAAAATATGACCTCCGCTGTGTTCCTCTTGTCCAATCTCTCTGCAACTCTATCAAAGAACAAATAAAGCAATTAAATTTGTCTGGCAGGCTTTGTTCTTTGTAAAGCTATGAAAGCTACTGCTCCTCATTCTGGTATCCTCAAGAGTTTTAGCTGGATTTTCTTTTTCTTGATCAAGCTGACTTCTCCTTGTCTTTTTTCTTCTTTTTTCTTTTCCTTCTTAGAGGACCTAGGGCCATTTTTGCTGTTTTCCTTTTTTATATATATACAAACATGTACATAAAACCTGTGCATGAGACTAGCAGAATGGAAATACTGGCTCGAGTAGGCCAGGCTCTGCTAGCCTGCACCTCCTTGCTGGTGGGGCCCCAAATGGTTATAGTCAGGCGCGAGGCAATGATGAGTCAAACCCGCTGTCGCAGCTGTAACTGCCTCCGCGTAGTGGATGCCCCACACTACCCATGTTTTCCTTTCACTCTGAAACCAAGAGTTGCAGTGGGCATCTCCTTTCCTCTGTGCAAAAAGTGGAAGATGTGGTGAAAATCTGCCTTTTTTTTTTTCTTCTTAATTGGGGTTACGCAGACTCGCACCACGTAGCGAGCTGGCCCGCCGCAGTATCGGTTTCTTCTGCGG